GGGGGGGGGGGCGGGGGGGGGGGGGCGAGGCAGGGCCAGATGCTGTCCCCGTGCCCCCCACGGGACTGGGATCCTCAGAGTGGGCAATGGGGGGGGGGGGGTATGGGGACAACGCTGGGGGGACACAGTGCCACTTGTCCTTGAGGGGAGGTTTTGCAACTGGGGCAGCTTTTGTGTTAGAGTTAATGTTTCACCGGGCGGGGAGATAACGCCAGCGGCACCCCTCGGCAGGGCGCTCGCACCCCCACCCCACCGGCCCTTGCCCACGACGCACCCCCCTGCAACCCCGCCTGGCATGGCCGTGTCCCCCTCCCACAGCTCCCACCCTGCTGCTGGGGACACGGGAAGAGCCCTGCACAGTGATGGGAAACACCAAACCGCAGGTGGGATGGCGGCACGGCCGTGGGGCACGTCCTCTGTCTCCACATGGGACTTGCGGATGCCGTGGGACCAGGAAAATCCCATGACTCCGGGAGCTGGTGCCCCACTGTCATCCCCACCATGGCAACAGCTCCCACGGGTGCCCCCCAGCTTCACCAGGGCTGACCCCCTTCCGCTGAGGTGGGTCTTGCGGTCGCTGGCATCATCCCGTCGGTCATCGCGCTGGGTGCAGTGCCGGCATCAGCCATGGCCCCCCCAGCACCCATCCCGTGTCCCCCACCCCAGGGGCTCACCTGGGGCCACACTTCGCCGATCGCGGGGGCCAGGGGACACGCGGCTGACCGGCCCCCGTCCCCGTGCTGCGGCCGCGCCGTCTGCTGCGCCCGAACTGGGGGGGCCAAGGGTCACCCAGGCGCTGCTCCCAGCCAGCCCCGGTGCCGGGAGGGGCTGCGCGGGGAGGGCCTTAAAGGGCGAGGGGGGTCCGGGCCCCCCGCGACAGGGCCAGGGCTGCGGGCAGGGAGCAGGCAAGGCGCAGGCAGGAGGTCAACCTTTATTAACACCCACCCCGGCGGGTCCTGGCCACCTGCCTTGGTGCAGGCAGGCAGCGGTTGGGTGCAGGGGCGCAGGCTGGGGCGGGGGGGCTGCGGCCCCCCTACGCCAGGGGCTGCTGGGCAGCAGCCGTGCAGCTCAGCCCCGTCCTGCCCGGGACCCCCGAGCCCAGCCAGCCCAAGATGGGGGTCCTGGGCCACCCCGCTCCTCCCTGGAGGCACGTGAGCGGGGGGCAGTGGCGCCCGGTCCCCTCCTCCTCGCCCTGGGGGCTGCTCAGGGCTGGGGGCAGGAGCCGGGGGGCTGCTGACCCCCCCCCCAGGAGACCGTGCTGGGGGCCGTGGGGGGGGTCCTGGCCCGTTATCTCTTGCTGCTCCTCCGCGTCTCCTTGCCGTTGCTGACGGGGCTGGCGGTGGGGCTGGGGTGGCCGGGCTGGCTGCGGGTGATGCGGCCGCTGGGGGGGTGCGTGGGGGTGCTGGGGGGGTGCACCGGGCCCCCCGGGCTCAGCCCGTTCCCGTTCTGGCTGTCGGGGGCTGGAAGCAGAGGAGAGCACCGGGAGGAAGATGAGGCCGGAGGCACCCCCCAAGCTGGGGGTGCGGGGTAGCACCGGGGAGGGGGGGGAGCCCCAGGGTGGGGAGGGGGCTGCATGACCTACCTGGGGGTGCCGCGGGGGGGCCCTGGCTGGTCTGCGAAGCAGCCGGACTGGCGCTCTCGTTCTGGGCCTGCGGAGGAGATGGAGAAGCCCCGTGAGCCGGGGCGGCCGCTCTCGGGGGACCGGGGGTCCTGCTGGTGCCAGCCTGGTCCCCCCCGCCCCCCCCCAAACTCACCCCTTTGCTCTGCGACTGCTGCGCCACGTACTCGGGGTTGGGTTCGCTGAAGTTAGGCACCTCGGAGTACACCATGCAGACCCTGCCAGCAGAGGGTGGGAGGGGGGCAATGGGGTGTGTGT